TTTTTTTGGGATGAGCCCAGGTTTTCTGCCAGACCCTAGACATGAATTGACATAGGGTCCAGTGAGTTCATTGCGGGATCATTGAATTTTGGTTGGCGTCAAATAGGATCTTTTCTCCACTGCAAAGTACCTCTAGGAAGATAGTTCAAGACGATTGGCTTCGCCACCCCTGACGACACCAGAATACACGATGTAATATGTTTTCAGTCAAAATATCCGAAAGCGACGGCAAAAAGTAGCACCACTCCACGGATATGTCGGCCGGTCATTGCCGTGGGCATCGATCGACCTCATCGCTGGCGCCAGGCTGCGGCGCATGGCAAAGCCTTTGCTGCCAAGGTGAAGCAGATGGCCGTTTAGGCCGACAAGGCCTTGTGCCGAGGTGATGGCCCCAATACCCCTGGCCGCCCGACCTGGTCCTTTTGCTGGTCGGTGTTCACGGCAGTTGATTGTTTAAACTGAAATTGAAATTGGTTGATGCCATGGAAAGCCATGTTGGAATGTTGGAAGGAGGCCAGGTTGACCAGAGGGGTTGAGCTGCTTGGTCCTGGATATATCATGGACCGAACAGCTCTTCACCGGAGTCAGTCACTGACTACGACATATGGTCAGTCGCGCCTGGCTTGTTTGCAGTTTGATGAAGGGAGCATGTATTCTTTGGTAAGCCTTGAAATATACCCCGGCAGGTCTTGTTTGAAGTCCTTGCGGTGCAGCCATGTACATATATATATATATTATATATATATATACATTTAAGGCATTTTGTAGTATATAGACTATAGAATACTACAGATATTTATATATATATATATTACACACGTACATTCGAGGCTTCATGGGCTCAATGGGAACTAGGTGACCTGCAAGACATTCAGATGCTAGGCCGACCCCAAGTAAGAAAACTACCTGCCTTCATGGTTGCTTAATTTGGACCACTTGCAACAGTTTGTGGATGACCAAGACGACCCAAGTCCAGCTCCAACATATCATATCTCTACTAGTAGGGAAGATGGGTCGGTCAGATGAACGTATTGAAGGAGGAACGTATTGCCCTACAAGCCGACCGGGTGCCCCTCTCCACAGCCATGAACTTTGAGCCTGGCCACATGGTGGCCACCGTGCCCAGTCTCCGAGTCTCCGAACATCAAACCTGCAAGCAGCCACCGGTTCGGACCGGGCCGCAGTTTTTTTAGCCGGTCTTTGCGAGCATGCTGGTCTACGGTTGTAACGCGTCATGCTGGTCTCGTGTGCACGCTTCCTTTTCAGAGTATGATGGAACCGAACGCACAACCTTTGAACTGGCATCGCATCCGGTGAACGGATCACACAAATCTTGGTGTACGCTTCACATCTGAGGTTTTCCGGTGCCGCAGGGTCTCCCCGCGGCACGAGTGGAAGGAAGGTGGTAGCCGATGCTCCAGGCAGAAGGACAGACTCACGCCTCCAGAAAACCAGACATGTGTTCCCTGAGTTACAACAACTATCAAAAACTAGTGGTTGGCAGCCTGCTAGCCGCATGCTAGCTAATTACTAGCCGCATGCTCGAGCAAGGTCATGGCGTCTCATCACATGTTCTGTCCTGGAGAAACGATGGACCTGAGCATGTATTTTTGCTGTTTGCAAGGCCAAAGGCCTTGTTCAGGGTGGGAGATGTTCAAAGATGAACATCCAAGACACTCCCAGATGTGCATTTCAGAGACCAGGGCTCCCATGCGCACCTCTCAGAAGATTGGAGTGAAAGGGAGCTGACTTGGCTTGCAACGTGACCCCGTTCAATCTGCATTTTAGCTTGGATGCAGACTCCAGAAGGTATCCAGACCTTGGTGGCTTTCAACTGATCGAGCACCAAGCAAGATATACTTTGAAGCGTGGGCAGGTATGATGATTTCTATGGTTCAACTACGCAAGACATAATCAGTGGTACTAGGTCATAAGACTGTATTCAAAGTGCTGGGCGGCCCCGCTTATGACTTGATGGTGGGAGGTCCCTAGTGTTGTTCCTGCCCATTGGTGCACTTTACACACATATTGCAGTTTACACACTTTGACTAAATCACCAAGCGCAGACTCAAGCAAAGATGCCACCCTTCCTGATAGATACCAAGAAGAGTGACGAAGCATATGTTCTCCATTTCCAAATGCCAAGAGGTGCTACCACCAGAATATTTGTGTTCTGTCCAGTTCGCTTGGGGCTCCTACACCGCAAGAATTGTCCTATCTCCGCAGAAGATTGCAGGCCAGATGTCACCTTGGTTGTTCACTTGGGCTGCTCGGAGAAGATGTGGGTGCCGTTGTTTGGGTCGTTTTGTGAACTTTACATGCATCGTTTGCTTGTGAGATTGTCCTAGACTCCTAGACCTAGATTCAGCTATGGTGTGGAAGTGTGGGAAGTGTGCCCATAGGTGCAGTTTCTGCATTGAAGAAGGCCGCGAAGTAACCCTCCATTGGCAATCACTTAGCTTCGCGGTTGGTTTGTGTGTACTGCTCCGCAACCCCAGCGCTTCTAAACATGTGTCGCTTCATGGTTCCGAATCCGTTCCGCCGAAACGAACCATGCTCACCAGCACTGGAGCGTGCTCGATGGGAACTTCGCCTCGACCGAAGTCGCTCAGGTCGGGACTATTTGGCCATGGGACTGGAGGACGCCAGGTGCCAGGTCCGCCCCTCTGAGGCCCTGCGAGGCGGAGAGACGCCATGCGCCACTGGGCTTGCTGCGGTCTTTTAAACTCAGTTTTGCAGCACCATTCTTTGGAGTTCCGGGGCTGATTATTTTGAAACTTTGAGAATGATTTTTTCTGGTTGAGTGCCTTGATTGCGGGAAAGCTTCGTCGTGTTCTTCTTGAGGAATGGTTACCGGTTTGTGTGTTCACCTCACCTCACTGAGTTTCCTTCACCTCTCCTCCTCCCCGTTGTTTTCGGCTTCGACGGACGGTGGGATGCCACAGGCGCGATGGCATTCTTGGCCTCTGAAGCTGCGCGGGGCCATGCAGTGGTGGATCCCTGCTGTGGGCAAGGATCCTTGTTGAAGCTGGCGCAGGAGTTGTGGCCCAAGGCGAGAATGCCAGCATTGTTAACACAGTCAGGTTGCTTCTGAGTCGCTGTCAAGTGGTCTGCAATGGCAGTTAATTGGCATTGATAAAACCCCGCTTCCAGAATGGTTTTATCAATCAGCTTACCCAACCCTGTTGTTGCTACTTTATCTCTCCACTGGGCACTCTGCCAGGAACCTTCTCGCATGCTTGGCCAAGATGTGCGACAGGCCGGGTGCGAGCCGTTGATGCCTTGAAGCAAGTGCCGGGTTCTGAGCAGCTCACAGGCTGATAGTAAGTATCGACAGACCCATGCACACCAGCATCACAAGCTTCGCCATCATTGGAAGAACCGAACCTCAGGAGGTTCTGATTTCCTGTGGCTTTCGGAATCTTTCGGACCGCAAACCGGCAAGATTTGAGTCCTCAAAGAGGGTCCATTCTTAGGGATGTCGTGACAATTCCATCCGCGATCAAAAATTCACCTCACCAAAGATTCTCCATGCCACTCGGATCGATACTGGTGGTATGCTGGGATCGGGTGCTTGGTCAAACCATGAGGAGCAGATCCTCAGCACAGACAGGTGGAAACCAGAGAACTCAGATGTTTGACAGCCAGCAAACGTAATGTACTCTAGAGAAGCTTTTTTCGGAGAGAATGTAATGCTGTAGATGGCCATGTGGCTTATAAACAGTCGAACTACTGATGGGCACTTGCGTGTACTGTATGGGCAAGTATATAGGTGTTTAGATGGTGTTTAGTTAATCTGTTGTTGCGTTTCTGCACTGGTGCCTAATGATGATGTTCTACAATATGCTTTCAAATAGTGATAGCCAAGGAGTTATCGGGTTCCCAGCACCATCACCATCCCCGAACATTTGAAGTTTGAAATCCTCACTCCAACGTGCCAACGTCGCAGGCTTGTTTAGGTTCTAATTTTACTTGCTGCAAATTCATTCAAGCCACATGACAACAACTGGCTCAACTCCTGTTTGTCAAATTCCTCACTCACCAACCCACACGGATGCTCCGAAGCGTCTTTCATCATCGAACGCCCACGAGGCGGCCCTCGCTCGCGCTGCAGAGATCGGGGGCCGCCTGGAGCTTTCGCGGGGCGACGGTGGAGATCTTCCGCTCGGCGACGGTGGGGGGCCGTGGGTCGAAGGTGAGTGAAGACCGTGCTCTGCACGTGCAGAGAGTACGTTCTGCTTTCGAAGTGCTGCTCGTGCTGGTCCATTGGTCCATTCTTTTTGGAGAGAAGTCGGGTGGTTTGGTGCGTAAAACGGCGAGAAGCCGGGGTTTCAAACATTGTATTCCTGTACGCTGTATGACATCATCTATATGACGCATCGAAGGCTTATGAAGGCTTTCGTCTATTCGGAGCGCAGGCTGTATTTCCCTGTACGCCTCTCTTTTTTTTGTTCTGCAAGACCCACTAGACTATACTTAGTGTAGACGGGATGTTTCCATCCCGCTGTTTTCGTTTTTTGCCATTCCCACTTATTTTGCATGCAGGGGAAGCAGACGCCTTCTTGTCTGATTTGCCCAATGCTGGCACAACCGAGGACGCGCAAAACCAGCACAGACTGTTGAGATGTTAATCAGTTCTGTGGAGATGTTGCTCGATTGAAGGAACTTCTCGTCATTTGTATTTGCAAACGACCGCATGGTGGATCCTGCTTATTTGTATAGACATGCAAACAGGTGGAGGAAGGATGACCCACCTGTAGTCCTTTGAGATCCACTTCCTGATGTAGCATGATTTAACGGTAAGCAGTCAAACAAACACATCAAAAATTGCACCTCATCGGAGGCAAAACACCATGCAATCCTCGAACCTTTCAGAACAGAGCACTGAGCATGGGTTGAAGGTGGCGACCCGCCGTATTCGAGCAACATAATTGATGTTTATGTTACTGTTGCATTGTATTTAATCTTTGCTTGGGCGAGTTCGGCCTGGTTGTTTCTGATATGTACTACAGTACAATGATTGAAGTGGGATTTGTATACACGGCTTTTCCACATGTTGGAATCATGTTTGTGTGTAGTTCAGTGAAGCTCCAGCGCCTAGACGAATTTGGTGGCTAGCTACAAGCCACTGCTATTTCCAACTGTTGTGTTCTTGCTCATTTGAATTGGCTGAACATTCATTGATATTGCATGATATTGCATGTATTGATCAATATGACGAACAACACCATATAAATGCCAGACACCCCATGTATGACATTTGCACCTACATTGGGTGGTTTCAGGAGGTTTCCATGGTCAATGTAAGCATATCCATACACCATACAATGCTATGCATGGAGTGTTTGGGTAGAGGTGACTCAAGAACCTCATTGTAATGGCATACCATGCATACATTCGCGAGCTACTGATACATCAGTGTTGTTGATGGTAGATCAGTCGTGCAATCAGTCAGGAGCGCAGCCTGCTTTGCCAGCGAGTAGTCGCGGAGGCCGTTATTCCAGTCGATAGTGGATCTCAGTAAAACTTGTGTCTTGAGCAGCTCTCAGTTTGAGAGGCTTTGGTTGTTGCTGTGTAATTAGTGTTCGACCCGTCAAATCTGCCAGAACCTGATGTTTGTTTGCCAGCCAGCCAGAGTTTGAGATGACAGAAGTATGGAGGACATCAGTGTTCAGTGTTCAGATCATTGGCAGTTGGTGGGTCGTGCATAGATTCATTGACTCTCTTAGCTTCATGCAGAAGACCCTATTTAGATAATAATAGCACAAAGTGGATGCATGTTCTGCAGTTGCAGGAGTGCATGCCACATGACCATGGACAATGGATGGAATTTCATGAACCCAAAGGGAACATCCAGCGTGTTTGGTCCTGATTCTGGGTGTTTCCAGTGTCCACTGTTTCCGCAAAACATCCCAAAAGCCTTCGAACCATGATTGATTTGTTGTAGATTGCCCAATGCACACTTACAACTACTATCAACTACTTATATACAACCTTCAACAGATGCAGACACCTGTTACAGAAGGTGGTGGAGGGCCCGGCCTCTCCTTTCTGATCAGAATCCCAAACTCAAAGACCTATTAAAGATGAACCTGAGCAACACTCTTCTTGAATCTGTTGAAAACTCTTGAAGAACATCCTGGACCTTGAAGGTCCCCAAATTGGAGACCGAACGACACTGGTTCAAAAGCCATGCATGGCCAGTGGCGTTGCACCAGGCCTCCCGGGTGTTACGGCCGGATGGCCGCCTGGTGCTGATGACGGGCTCCCCGGAGCTCCTGGCACAGGAGGTGGTGAAGGCGAGGTGAAGGGGACTGGTTGGGGGCTCCTAGTAGCTTCAAGCGATGCCAGGAGCGATGCAGGAGACCCTAGTAGCTTCTTGTTACCGTTTTGGGGCGATGAGGAGTCCAAAGTCTCAAAAGGCCGATCCACGCGGTGCAGGAGGATCCTTCTCATCCGGGAGACAGACCTGGTATCCGGTGCAGGAGGGTGCTTATAGTAGTGCTTTCTATATTTGGTCCTTGTTGAGGGGGGTTTGACAAGGGGCATTCGGCATTGATGTACGTTTACGAGCGCTTTCAACCAGTCCTCGTTGGTTGTTGGCACAGAGAGGTGGGTGAAATGCAAGCACTATAATGTCATGTATTCTATTCATTCATATTGTAACCTATTTATAGGACCGCAAAGATATCTCAATCATTCTCAATGGCCGCTTTTGAAGCTGGTCGAAGCCAGGGAGCCTGGCGGACGGTGGGCGCCTGGCCCATCCGTCGGCGTCGGGCGACGCGGAGCGAGGAGAAGGTGGAGCAGCGCCATGGCCGAAGGACGCGGGGTGCGCTGCCAGGGTCGATTCGGTGCCAGTGCCATTTGGTCTTGCAGTATTTTTGTATATGTTTGTTATACCTGGATCCTCCTTTGGGCGGAGAAAAGTGCCGGACCTCAATCCGGCAAAATTTTCCGCCGGATTCCGAAAAAAGAGCCGGAGAGCTGAAAAAACATCCGGATCCAAGATTCTGAAAAACAGAGATGATAAAAGGTTGGATCATACACAAGGAAACTGCCTTTGCGCCGCGAGTAGTTTTTCTGGAGCACACTCGAACCTTCCCGTTCCCATTGCCCTCGCCCCATCTTGCGAATGGCCTAAGAGCAAAACCATCACACAATATAAGCAACTTGTGCCCAAGCAAAGACTTCCAAGAAAAAAACAAGGAGTATGTGGCAAGGAACCCCTCTTTCTCTGCAACCGTGTCTCTAAAGTGTTTTTTTACAAAGTGGGCTGCTCTCCATGATTCTTATGCTTCTCAATGTTTCATGAAAGCTTGCCTCAGGACGGCCCCCCAATAAAGTAGTAGCAGAACTATGCAGAACTCATGGTTCCTGTCAAAACTCTTCTGTGAAAAACTGTTCACAATCAAAGCCTGCAGAAGACTCAGTTCAAAAAAATACGCCGGAGTTACGGGAAATTACGCCGGAGTTACGGGAAATTACGCCGGAATTACGGGAAATTACGCCGGAGTTACGACGTGCCATTTTTTGACAACTCTTTGCCAAACATTGAGATTCTGAACAACACATGTTCCACAGCCCAAAACTTGTCCGGCAGGCTCTGCAAACCTGCGCAGCTAGAACTATATCCCAGTGCCCCGACATCCTGAAACAATGGGAGTACATTTTTGCCTATGCTCTTTCAGCTTAGGTACACCCACTTGGGTCTTTCAACAGGTGCATCGCACTGTACCGGCTTCATCCGATTTCATATAGAAGATCACCTAAACGGATCTGATTGATCCAGTGTGAACCATGCTGAAACCGGTGGAATGAGAAAACAGCGGAACAGGCAAACGAGCACACTTTGCAAACAAAATCATTGCATCAGTAGTGGGTTTACCTTCAAAGAAATGCAGACCACAAAGAATGCACCGCCTGGAGAATCCACATAAAGTGACTTGGAAAAAGCGCCGGACCAAATCCAGAAAAGCGCCGGAGTTGGAAGTCCGGCGCCGGACCCTGTAAAAGTGCCGGACTGAAGATCTAGGTATATTGTGTTATCACTGGTGCTTTGCACTTGAGGTGGCTTCGTCACTCACATGATGGTTTCATTCTACCATATTCTACCTTTTCTTTGCTGTGCAGTACTGTGCCTCATCTAGAATAGGACTTGTTCCCTGAATGCTGAGCATTCGCAGGGCCTGGGGTGGTTGTACCAAGGTTGGTGTGCCTGGAGAAGGCGGCAGAGGAGCCAAAGAAAGCTCCGAAGGATCTCGCATTGAAAGAGGACAGCCTGGGCAAAGACCGACCTTCTTTGGGGAATGGCCGGGTGATGTAGGGGTGCTGGAAGAGCATGCTGAAGCCGCTATTTTTTTTTACAGCAATCAATCTTGATGTTTATAAGTTATATAGACTATATATGTCTTCCTAAAGTTCCAACAACTCCAAGTCTAACAGAACAAATAAACACAGTCTATACATAGGTGATACAGTGATACAACACCCATTTAGGTGTAACTGTATTTGTCAACCTTTCACATGCAGGTCGAGAACAAACTTGCTGCTTTGGAAGAGACTGCCTACATAGATTGCCTTTGGCTTTGGCATGCTTTGGCTGCACTGTTCAATGCTGTTCCTTTACTTTCAGACTGAACGCAAGCACACAATGTCGTTCCCCTTTGGCCAAGAGAAATTACAGTCTTCAGATGTCTTGAGTATCTTTGGTATGAGTGTCGGGTATGTATCGGAATCTACACGAAAACAGTCCCAATAAGTCCAATCCAACTTGATCACTTTTCCAGCAACTGGTGCTGTGGAGAAACATGGCGTCACCGACTGGTGGTCGCCAGTCCTTGGCTGACTGCTTCACCGAGTTTCAGGAGAGCGCTCCGAAGAAGTCTGAGGACACGAGTGCGTTCATATGACTTGATTGTTCCTTCACTTCTTTTTGGAAATTGCAAACAAGAGAGAGAGAGAGAGCCATAATGAATTATAGATGGGAAACACGTTACATGTTTTTGCATGCCTGCAGTTCTAGTGCCATTGCCCCCCCAGGTTTCATCGAATCAATACCTATTTACATGTGTTTATAGTAACGTTCAGGGAGATAGAATATACTAAAATAATTAGTCAGCAGATAGAATATTTTCGAGTTGAAAAAAACTAATTCTTTTGAAGCTAGCAGATAGAATATTTTTTTGCACATAGAATATTTTAGATATATACACTATATTTTGTTTATAACACAAAGATATGTCACATATATATATATACATAAAATATAGATGTGTCATTGATTTGTGTATGAACGGAGCTAAGCACACATGTTTATGTCTATATCTACAACCTTACATGCTGGTATATATTTATACATAAGGCCAGCAATGCTGGCCTGTATTATAAACCTTGAAACATGAAAGTATATTGTACTTGTAATACATACCAACAGTTTGCGGTTAGTATATAAGTTGAGCACCAGAACACCATGAACTATATATCGACTCCCGTTGCCTGCAAAAATATTCTATCTGCAAGATTCTGGCCCTTTCACATAATGATTGTAATAATCAAGTCCCAACCATCTCGCTTTCTCTTTTTCCTCCCCGGCATGCACATGCTGCAAGATGTCATTTCAGTCACTGTGCTTTGGCTCCGCTGCACGCGCTTCTGCAACTCTGCCCAACTGCTTCCTCGCCAACCTATCCTTGGGTTCTTTCACCAGATGGTCTTCCAGCATCAGCTCAATCACACGCAACAGTGCCTGCTTGGCTGTCCTTCCGCATGTTGGTGTGAATGACCTGCCATGATGCGAGCATCCAGAGGCAGATGCTCTCCAAACCATCGCTTTTGGATGGATGCCGATTGTACATCCAGTGGGCCGTTCCACCAAGCCAAGCTTCGCCAAGGACTGAAATTCCGGTCTTTCCTCGGAAACTCTTGCTCTAGTGACTTTGGACTGCTCACATGCGATGGTGGCTGATGGCTCGCCATCATCGCTATCGCTGTCCACAAACAACCAACCACTATGAAGGGCCGGATCGAGATCTTCATCGGAGTGATCGCCAGCTGCCTTCATCATTGGATCGTTGAATTCGTGGTCTTCTGGTTGAATGTCTTGAAAAAACTGTTCATCATCATCATCTAGGATGTTGTCCTTCTCCAATTTCTTGGATGCATCGCCAACTGCTAGATCACCTGCAATGTTGCAGATAGAATATATAGTATTATATATATATATACAAAAATCACAACCAACCACAAAGAAAACATGATTATATATATAATCATTGTCAATTGCACTTGCCCATACCACACGCACACACACATTGAATGAAACATTGCCCCGCCTGCAAAATGATCAATTTCTGCTGGTATTGCTGTGTCATATGCGGACATACCACGTAGGAGTTTCAAAGTCCATTTCTTTCCTGTTCCTGCCTTTATCCAAAGGTCATTGGAATCAATGGCTGGATGGATCACCAGAGCGATGCAAGTTCGCTTCAGAGTGGCTTGAGACTTCTTCTCAGGATTCTTCACAACTGCCTGCTTGCTCTTGTCCAGTACCAGCACTCTTTCCGAATCACTCATCCACGACTCATATGCTAGTTTTGCTTTTGGTGGCAACTCGTTTTTTCCTTGTGCAATTCTTTTATCAAGTCGCTGGCCCCAAATTTCATGTTCCTTCTTCCAGGTGAGTATGATATTGTCGATTGGAAGTTGAAACCATTGCGGTAAAGGAATAGGCTCAGCATCAGCGGCATTTGGGTCAGCGATTGCCCAAAATGTCACTGCCTCTCCTTCCAAGCGTATGTTGTCATCTTCAACTTGAGGTTCTGGAAGTTCTGAGCTGGGAGTTTCTGGTATGTCATCCAGGCTGTAGAGCTTGGCCATGCCATCCCTGGCTTGCGACATTGCAAGCTCAGCAGCTTGAAGATCATTGTCAAAATGCCACTCTGCTATTTTTTGCATCGGGACCATACCACGTGATATCCAACTCCACATGATCAGCTTGCCTTGCTGATAGTTCCGCAATTGATGCAGCGCCCATGCATCACATTCAAGGCTTCCTTCATGAGATAGCCTGGCATTGGTTGCAGATAGAATATAAAAAAAGTATGCAATACATACGATATATGATACATACGACATAGAGAAAAGGCATATACAATATGTATATATATATATACAATAAATATATTCAAAACCATTGCTGGCACGCAAGCACAATCAAATCAAGCTAGTAGCTCAAAGCGGAAGTTGCCGTCCACACTGATGGAACAGTCAAGAAGAGAACGTCGAAGCACAGGGTTATCCCCCATACCCACTCTCATTCTCATTGCACTGCGTCTTAGACCGTGATAGAAGCCATGGAAGCCGTCGTTGGGGCCTCCACATGCCCCCCAGCCTGATGACACATGCTGAAGCTTTGATCGCCACAAATGTTTGGATAACTTAAAAACTTTCATACAAATCATGATATCTCAAAAACAATCAACACAAACACACACACACACATATATATATATGTAATTTCTTTTAACTGCTGGTTGAATCCATATTCTATGTGCGACATTTGTTTGAAACTCATTATATACTTAAACCTGCTGCATGCACATTGCGCAACCCAAACCCAAGCCTCCTGGTACTGCTACCAAGTGGAAGCTCTCGCCATGCAGCAAGATGCAGTTCTGATCTCTTTCAAAGCGTTCCCGAAGCTTCTTGAAAGTGCTGGATGCATGCTGCGGTGCTTTGTCCATGATGATCATTGCTTTGGAACGAGCATCAAGTCCCAGTTTCTTTCTTTTTCTTCTCAACTCTATCGCTAGAAACCTCAAGTAATCACCCAATGTTTCAGCCGTCCACATGTGGCTGGGTCCATGATGAGACGTAGAGATCTGCAATACATCTTTCAGCTTTTCATTCATTCTGCTGACTGTTTGCACAGACCTGAGTGTAAAAAATAATAGTGTGAAATAAATGTATATATTATTCAAGAAACATATATATATATTACCAAAATAAGCCAGCAATGCTGGCTTTACATACATATATATATATATATGTATAGATATTACAAAAATATGTTAAATAACATTCTTTTGATACATATTCTATCTGCAAGAATGTGCATTGATTGAATATAGAACAAATAAAACTGAGGATGTGACATTGATCCAGGTGCTATGGTGATCCAAGAACGTCCTAAATCACCATCTCGCCATGATAGGGTTGTACAAGTACGTGCGTTTCTGGCATAGTCGACTGGGTTCATGCTCCCTGCTGCATTCAACGTCACTGGCTGGCACGGCTGCTTGCGTTTTTTTGAGATCTCATCACCAGAAGTATCAATACCCATGTAGACTTCAAGCTGTGTAATGATTTTCTGAAAAGATCTTGAAGGACAATGAGGAACCAGTTTGCCCAAGTCTTCCTCCGGTTTGTGCAATTGTTTGCGGGGTGGTTCATAATGCACACTCCAGACCTGATCGAAGTTTGCAACCAATCTCCCATCTACATAGTTTGTGGAGGTGACCTTGTCCACAAACCGTCTCACTGCCTCCATTGCTGGATGCGTGTAGCTCAAATGTTTGGATTGCTTGGATACGGAAGAATTCTTCAATCCCAGCTTCTTGCAAAGTTTCATAGCAGCTTGCCTGGCACAGCTGGGAAATTAAAAGGATATTCATGATATTCTATGTGCAACATCTTCTCTGAAAAATATGCTGAACTACACTTGCATATATATATATATAATCAAATCACAACCAAGAATCCTTCTGCCGTCATGTGTCGTTGACAATTCGCAAGTACGGAGCATCTGTTCCAGCTTCTTCATTGGATCAGTTGTTGACATGGTCTGGTCTGATTCACTGTAGCTGCCAAGTGCAATGCAAGACTCAACATGCTCACCAGAATCGATGCGATCTTGCAACACACCCTGCATGCGCGAACCAATGTCATGGATATGCTCATTCCATAGGTTGATCATAAAGTTCATGGTTTTTGTGATGTAGCCCAACCCAATTTCCTGCCCCGTAGTCATAGCGTCCACCAGCATGCTCTCGATTGCAAGTGCTAGTGGGTCTGGAATGATGTGTGTAGGAGCCAGTTTGCCGTATTTGCTGCCATTCCACTTGCAGCAACTGATATTTAGAGTACTTCTGAAGGCATTGGGGATCTCTGAATGTTGCTTGGATAGCTCCGGTGCCACATCAACGAATGCATCCCATGAGTTATCCTGTCTTTGGCGCTGCCATTTAGAAAAACAGCCCTGATAGCACTCCTTGCGCTTCAGAAACTTCAACATATGCTTTTCAGGAAACTTGATCTCAGGATTTGCTTTCAGCTCTTCGTACTCCTGATGCAGGTGAACCCAAACATATTCTAAGTGCAACACCTGGAACATATTTCATTATATGTATCATATAAAAAAACATCTATATATATATAAGAAAACCTATTCCCTTTGGAACAAATATTCTTTTTCTACACATACATAGATTCACAATGACATATATATATATACACAAAGAAATTGTGCTGTGACACAGCCCAGGTACCTTGAGAAGTTCAACTTTCCGGTATATGCTGACAACCCCCTTTTTGCCTTCTCTTGCAATCTTTCCATTCGATTTGTATGTTCTCTTTTTCTTCTTGGGACCACCCCCCTGCTGATCAGATGCTGCTCGCTTGATGCCAGCGCTTGCTACACGAAGTGCCTCAACATGTTCCTTGCAAGCATCACCCGACAACCCAGGTTGACTCAGATAAGCCATAGAGTTTGCTGATGCTTTCTCACATTCAAGTCTAGGCTTGGACTTACCACAATACCTGCGACGCTTCACTGTTTCTGGCTGCACAACACTTGGGCTTTCCCTTTTGTCAAGTGGTTTCTTGGAACTAC